ATCTGTACTACCTACAAAAATACCCAATGCACCACAGTTTATACGCATAGTCTGAAATTCAAGTTTTAGCCGCGGAGAAAAGATGTATTTTGGAGCAAGCCAACCATACTGAATGACAGATAAACACACTCCTGCAGTGTTCAGTACTCATCAAGAACACACTTTGCTTTCTAGGACTCTTCTTGCAGAAGGCATTTCTATGGAGGGTGGAGACAGACGCTTAGAAGAAATATGCTACCTCCAGAAAATACCTGGAGTTTACTTTTAGCAGGTGTGGCATACACAGAGGTCAATATTAAATGGGGAACTATCCATTTAAGTAGAATTTGGTGCACAAAGTTAATCCTTACAAACAAAGCATGTCGTTTTTTGGGTTTTTTTTTGGTTTGGTTTTTTTTTTTGCTTAGTAATGGCTTGAATAATGATATTTCAACTTGAAGTGAACATGCAACTATTTCACAAAAAGCATGCTCCTTGCAAACAGTTTGTAATTTCTAGTCCTTTTAAATAGTCAGAGGCAACTTTCTGCTCTGATCTGTTAAGTAAATATAAATCTTGTTATCCAAGTTCAGTAATGAGAGTGAGGGGTCTATTCTTCTTCATTGCACTTGCATACATCTAACGTTAATGAGATTTATGCATGCATATTAAGGGGAGAACAGATGCTTAATTAAACAAATCAGCCTTTAGTAGGCAGTCCACATGAACATTTTTAGTACAAAACCCCCTTATTTTATCAGTTTTAGTCTGACTGTGAATGCAGCCAAGGAGGAAAAGAAAAAGTCATACATGTAAAATGAAATGTTCGTCTTTTTTTAGTTTGAAATACTTGATATTGATTATTTATCTCCTCTCTCTCATGTTCTTGTGCTCTTTAAAGGAAAGAGGAGCTTTATTTACTAATTTACCTTTATAAAAGTGAGAATTTTATTGGGCAAAAGGAAATCAAGGCCTCTAAATAACTCATCTGCCTCATTAAGGTATGCTGCCTATCAAATACACATGATTCATCTCAGATCATTTTGCAATTGAGGACAAAAAAATTCTAAAATAACTTTAGTCTAATTAAAACATAATTTAATCTGGTCATTTTTTTTAACCTACCCATGTTCATATTGATTTCCAGCATCATACACACATAAATACAGTAAAAAGTTATTTACACTGCCTCTCTCTAACAAGTCACATCTTTATTATTTGCTCCTTCTTCATTATATTGCTACCTTTTCTTCCACAACACTCAACTACTAAGGGTAATGTGAAGTAGAAAAAAATCTCTCCATAAGTTATCATAGTGCCATACTTAATGGAAGTCAATATCTGTATATTATGCTATCTACTCTGCAATACCATTACAGGCTCAACAGTGCTGGTTGTAAAAAGTATCATTCTGAGCACAAGGCCTATAATAGTAGTAATGAAAAAAGGGTCATTTCTGTCTTCCAACTAGAATGAAAAATTAAAATCACTAAGGCACTTAGCTCAAAGGAAAATTGGCAAATTAAAGGGACAAAAAATAAAATATTCATGGCTCATATTGTGAAATGGAAGGTAAATAATTTAAGATGAACTATTATGTGGGAAATTGCACTCTTTCTAAGAGGAAAAAGCAAACCTAACCAATACACATGTATATATTCCTGCTTCCTGGGCTTGCAGTTAGAGGTATACGTGCACAAATATGCAAGTCATGGTTGATGTGAATAATGGTGAGGGATAGACATTTTCTCACCTATACTAATTTTGAAAATATTTGCTAGTGAAACAGTCAAACTGACAAGAGCTGCTTTATGTGAAGAAGGTGGGTTGTTTTTTAATTCCTGAATCCACTCTAGAAATGAAGACTGAATGAGAAGGCTGCTCTCCCACTGCCCTCCACCTCAGCAAAACTCTTTCTTCTGAGTCACCAGTTACTCGCTCTTAGATTCTTATACCACAAAAAAAGGTAAAAATTATGACTTCAGCCTTCTGGTCTGTGCCTGGGGGAGCTACCTATTAAAATGCCATTGGTGTGGCTGCAGTCCATTATCTATCTTACCCTCATACCCATAAAGCTGAAAGGGCTGCCCAGAAATTTTACAATCGCTATCTGGACAAGGTAGTGAGAGAGCCATAGACTTATGTTTATTATACTCCAGCACTGTAACAACTGTTATGGGATTAGGATACAGAGCAGCACTGCATAGCAGAGGTCACATTTCCCTGGTGATTTAAAGGTTCAGTCTTCTGCCAACTCAGAAACACAAAGCCTACCTTTGTTAGAAGAGAATGTTTTGATAGTATTTCTAAGCATGACAATTAAATAACTATACATCCCAGATTTAAAATCTGGAGTTCATCACCTAGCAAACAGGAATAATTTTTTTATATATTTTATTAACCTCTTGGTTAGATCAGCTTTGCATTCCTGGTGCTAAGTGATAATGAGCTTTGCATTAGTGTTCAGCATCAGGGATTTCTAACACCCTGCACCAATGAGTTAACCCTTCTAAACAGCCTACAGAGCCCACTTCACAAACCTTTTGACAGTTCTAAACCAATGACACTACACACTGCCTTAATTCAAAGGCACAAATATACTGTTTCATTATAGTGTTTCTCCTGGAAATACTAAACACCTTCAAAAAGAAGTACAGAGAAGCTCATTTGAGGTCCACCAGCCTTCTAAGGCTCATGGTGCCCTGAAACAAGCAGTCAGCTCAATGGGAGAAAAAGGATGTATGAAGAGTCAAATGTGGCATTGTGAAATCTTGCTGCTCTTATATATCTGCCCAGAACTCAGCATTATTTCTGTTCTGAAAGAGTTTCTACATAGACGCTAGACACTAGCTTTTTCCTGAGACAGAAGTATACATTTAGTCACAGCTCCAATACTAAAGTATTTATTGTAATTGTTTTCCTGATATACAATATCAATTTACTGTGCTATCTGTTATCTAGTAGTGGGTTATTCGTGAACAATGATGGTGCAATGTTCCAGAAAACATTAAAAAGTAAAATATAATGATCTTTGGCCAATGTTACATAAAAACAGTTAACAGAGTCAACTTCTCTTGTTCTGTGGACAGCACATATACAATCCAGAATTAAGACAGGCAATATATGTATCAGAACCAACCAGCCAAGGAAACAAACACTGTGCAGTCAACAGCATGGGAAAATAGTACTTTGGACTACAGAGACTTAACTAACCAGTAATAACCAGTGTCATCTGCATTTCAAATCTCCAGTACATTAACCTACTTTGCTCCAAGTGCCACAGTCATTAATATGCTGAGCAGAGTTTCCGTTAATAAGGGGTGAAATAACAGGACTTTTTTAAAAACAACTATTTCGAACATAAAAGCATGATTTCTTGATGGTCTCCCTGAATCACAGTCACCTAAATAAAGCTTCAATCGAGGAAAAGCTTAGCAGGAAAGCAATCATTCTTCTTTTTGTATGTGTAAAAAAGACCAGGAACTACAAGTAAATAGCAGCTGAGCAACAGATGAGGCACTAAGTGAAATCTGTTAGCAACTGCTAACAGCTTTGCTATTTTCTGTTGTTAAATTTTAAAAAAAAAGGCAAAAAACCAATGCAGTACCAATTCCAATATGTTCAAAAATCTCAGATGCAAAAGACTAAAGCTCAATGCTTCTTGTGCTACAGATAAATACTGGGGTTTGGTTTTAATATCCTGAAATGCTTTGTTATTGATTATAAGGCAGAAACAAGCCAATTCACACAGCCATACCATTAAGGTAAAACTTGTTACAGCTGTATATGTGACCCAGCAACTATAGCACAAAAATCCTACCATAGACCAGTGCAACCTTTTCTGCAGCTACTTTAGCCTCAAATTCTGCTTTCCTTTGTCCTTTATGCCTGACCCTGTGTCATTCTCCAGAAAGTACATGTGTCTTAATTAGCATTGAGCTTTCTGGCAAGATCTCAGAAATATTTTCATTGTCCTTCTGGTCCTGGAGCTTTCACCACAGATGATCAATTCTTATTTATCTCAACCCAATCTTGACATGGGTTCAGCAAGTCTGTTTTTCTGTTTGGATGCATCTACACAGCACAGCAGAACTATGCAGGCATAGCTGAAACAGCTCTGAACAAAGGTGGCCACAAACTAGAAACAGTTCGAACATACCAGAGTGGGTTCCAGCTCCTGCTAGGATCAATTAGTCACATGACTGCAGTCAGTGGACTAGTTCATAAAAATTCATGGCATTGCCTGGTCCCAGGCAGACATATCCTCTTCCCACTCCTACCAGTTGCTTTCGTAACTTTTTTCCCTTGGCTCTTTCTCTCCTGTTAGTCTTGTAAGGGCTCTGTTCCTCGTTCCTCCTTTTGGTGGTCTCCCACATGAGGGATCACAGCACAAGCACAACTGTATCTGCAAAAGGCACACTACAGATTTCCTTCTCCATCGAGCTTTTTGCTCCCTTATGGTGTTTACATTTCTAATGCCTCCTATGGCAGGATCCCTTTCCAATTTAAATTCACCATGTCTGAGCTCATCTCAGTTTCTAAATACTTCTTTTTACTTTCTCTTAAGCTACCAAGAATTAGTAGCCACCTTGTCTGCTGCAGAAGCTGACAACTTTTGTCATCTTGAGCTCTTCCCTTTCCTTCCACAGATGTTCTACCAATAAAACATGCCAGTTTCTTGCCCACAACGTCATAAAAAAGTCTGGATGTTTCTTTCCATCCATGTTGCTAAAATACTTGATCATTCAAATCTTTTTACTGCTGTCTCCTCCTGACACTCCTCACCCTTCACATCAGTACAAAACACCAGTTTGAAAAAATACCCCTTGAATCTAATATTTAGGTGGTATTTGATCCCTTCTATATTCCATCATGAGTTTCCTGTTATTTCTTTTAGAAACATTCAGATTAATTGGTCTTGTTTTTCATGTCATAAGAAGCAGTTTCTCCCTGAAAAAATACCAGCTTGGATTTGCTCATTTGTGCAGGACATATGGTCCCCAATTCTTTTGTAAACTCACACTGTTTGCTCTTGTTCAGTCTTTCCTTTGCAGGTCAGCGCTATCCTTTCACTTTTATCACGGCTTGGATTCCCTAAGACTCTCACCTTTGCAGGAAGGAATTTCTTTTCAAGAACACTTTTATAAATTCTAGAAAGAAACACTGACAAGAACACAGAACTTTTAAAAACCTCCCAGCTGAACTGTTAGCTCTTACCAACTCCTCCTTCTCTATGTATTATAATGTGTTGCTTCCATCTTTGTTGTTTTGTAGAGATTTTCAATGATGTGGGACAAAAATTCCCATTCTGTACTGCCATACGGATAAATATTATTAACAATTACTGTCTGCCGGGAAGACAAAAAACAACTTATGGAAAGAACAGATGTATAAAGCTCATGTACTACACCAAAATGTGAAATATTTCTGAGAAATGGAATCACTAAGAAGGGTAACCTATTTTTCTCAGCTTTGCATATTGACCACTATCAGAGCTTTTGTCAAATACAATCACTCGGTTTGGACTCTGACGTCATTCCATTTTCTTTCTGGCTCAGGCATCATATCCCTGTAAGTGACACAGATGTAAGTTACTTACTGATGTAAGTAACACTGTGCAATTCAAACTTTGAAGCTGCTATATATCTGTGATATATGAAACAATACTTATCCTTTTGTTAGACATCTGTGCCACTCTCCTCCACCTTATTCACATCAAAGAGTTAAAAAGAAAAATGAAAATATACATAAAGCTTAAGATACACGAGAGTTTTTGAAGTCACCCTCCTAATTATTCAGTGTTTTGACTACTGTTCCATGTTAAGCCCTATTTCTTTAAACAGTGTGAAGACAAATGCATGTGCAATGCACAGGTGTGCATTGAGGCCTCCTCGGTGTTCCTAAAGAGCCTCATTTGAAAGCAGACTGGTATACCCACACACCTTCATCTTACAAACACTAACAACTGGTGAAATCATGAAAATTTGGAACATAAGCAAGCCTGTACATTTTTGACAATATCTCTACAGTGTTCAAAAGCTGATAAGACAAATTTGAAAGGATTCCTATTGGCGATACATGGAAGAAAGTCAGTCAGCTAAAACCTTCCATGTTAATATAACACCAGTTATATTTGACTCCAGAGGACGCAGCAACAGAAAGCTGTCCTAATGAAGATCATCAGTGAATGATCTTGCAGCTGAATTTCTTAGATTACTAGTTAAATGTATCTTTGCCTAAGCAATTGTGGCATTTTTATATATCTGGCTTGTCAACAACACAACATGCTAAGAAGCACCAATAGCCTCTGTCCTGGGTCTCACCAGGTTATGGCTCTGACCAGGACAGGGTTAACTTTTGCAGCAGCCAGGAGGGGCACACAACGACTCTGGGGTTATTCCATACCACCTCACCTCATGCAGAGGGGACAGAGGGGGTGGAGTGAGCTACCCTTTGCCAGTTTGCTTGGGGCATGTGGTTGGGCAATGCTGGGTTCCACAGGGTTAGCGACTGCATGCGAGTCATTCGCCTGCCTTGTACACTATGTTATTAATACAGTTGTTACTGCTCATTTTTCTTAGTTCATTGATTTTTTTTTAGTAAATTGTTCTTATCTCAACCCATGATCTATACATTTTGTGCCACAGATTCCCTCCATCCTGCCACAGGGGGAGGGGGAATGAGTGAACAGTGTGTGGTCTGGGGGGTTTCTGTGGGAACACTAAATTGGGGAATAACACTCCTACACCACAACAGCCTCCCAAAGCTAACACTAAGCATTTAGTATCACAAGTAGTGTTTAGTGCCACAAGTAATCACATAGCCATATAATCTAACCTCCTCCAGGTGACCATTAAATTTCATCACACACTCCATCAATTGCAAAGACCTAGCCAAATGGAAAGACTTTAACCCTCAGTAGAGACAAGAGGTACCAGAAGCAGGGGTGATAGCAACCAGAGTGCCTACAACACCAAAGTTTCCAGCAATAACAAGGAAATGGCTTGAAGCACTCTGATGATTCCAGAGATGCAAAACCAACCAACAGCCACAGAAGAAATCCAAATGCTTGCACGCTGGGCAGGGAGGACAGTGAGCTTTTGCCCAGCTGAAGCTATGAAGCAAAGATTTTATCATAGCTAGTGGTCTTCAGCAACTGCAAATAAATGTTACTAGACTGTTTACAGTACCATGAGGAATCCTGCTCTCCCTGCAGCTTGTGAAGGAAGCACGTAAGCAAGGGAAGAGCTAGGCAAAGGTCTGAGCATGGGAGAAGGTCTTGTATTACCCAGAAATATTCCCCACAAATCCTTCCCCACTGACACACACTTGTTTTAAGCCTGAAACCCTGAATCTTTTCTGACATATGGGAATGCATTTCAAAGGCACAAAAAGACATTTTGTCTGCCAAATGTCTTCTGCCGCAGCTACAAGTTTGGTGTAAAAGTATAAACTGCTTTCTTTTTCAATAACATAAACATTATTTGAGTCCAAGTGAAATAATTTTTCCATCACTTTATGAGAGCACCAGTTGCTTCCTATCTTATAATAAGAATGGGTGGCTGTTTTGCTTTGTAAAATGCCATACCTCAACATGACGCCAAAACCTTTCTTCTTTTTCTTTTCTGGATCTTCATTTTCTTCCTTCCTTTTCTTCTCTTTGATTTCAGATTTTCCCTTTTCCTTTTTCTTCGCTTTCTCTCTACTGTTTTTGCCTTTTTTTGTTTCTGAGACTTCAATTTCAGGGTACCCTGGAGGGGCAGCATCCATGTTCTGAGCTTCTTGACCAAAGTAAGTGCTCTTATCAGAGAAACCATCTGCACAGAACAAAAAAGAAGCAGTGAGGATGGCTACAGATAACTGAAATGCAAACACGTGAAATACAGCGTGAGTGTCTACAAAGTGCTCAAATGACTCACAACACTTACTCATTTAATTGAATAATTTAAAAAGCAGACTAAACAGATCTAGTAGATTCAAGCAGATTTGTATTGTAAATTAAATACAGAATTATTTTAGTGACTTGTTTTCGAGTTATTATTCCTCATACAAAAATCTCAACACAGTAAAGCACTAGTCTGTTTGAAATCTAACTTGTTAACCTCCATCAGCTCAAGAAAAGTGATGTGCTGGGATGCAAACACTGAGAACTTAATTCAACAAGAGATTCTGGTGATTGACATAACCAAACTATGCAATAAAACTATTTCATTCACTCCCTGGAATCTTACTATTTTAATGGCTGAACAAGAACCAGACAAACTGTTCTATCTGGTTGGAGAAGAGTTGTTTCTATTTGGGGGGCTCAGGATCCAAGACCAGTTTTATGCTGCATGCTAAAGGAGGTGAATTTCCAGACTAGGGTCTATAAACCCATGGTGACAGAACGAGCAGCAGGGTGCTATCAATACACTCTGCCTTATCTACAACATGAAATAAATTTCCTGGTTGGAAAACAGGGAATTGTAAAACAAGCAAGATAATTTTTAATGTAATCTGAAGAAAGCAGCTGCTTCTTGAAGTTGAAAAACATAATTATTTAAGGATTGAGTTCTAAATCCTTCAACCCACCCCTGCCCCAAAGGAGATCAGTGAAAGACTTTACACTAAACCCAGTCAAGGTTGGATGGGGTACTGCAGAGACAGCTCTATTCAGTGGAGGACGTGAGGAGCTTTTAAAATGCTATCAGTTTCAACTGGAGTGCACCACTTGCTCATGTGCTTTACTGAGCTGGTCCTCAGCAGTGCTGAGTGAAGGTGACTCCCTCAATAAGTGCCATTGGCAACATACCCCCTTCTTCATCTTCAGGTCCATCATAAGACTTGTCAATAGCAGCTCGGAAACTCTCATTACATCCCCGACCACGGACCACATGAGGCCTGGGTCTGTGAAAAGGGAGTTCATTCTTCCTAACTTCAGCCACAGCAGTCTGAAGACTCTCCAGAGAACTGGACCTCTTTAATCCCAGAGTAGGACCGAAATCTTTGCCGGAAGAGTCTGGAAAACAAATAGTTAAGTTTTTATACCAAAAAGCACATAGAGAAATTAAACTAGTTAGGTATATTTAATTGTGTTCTTTATTACTTGGGGCCTTTGAAATAGTATGCAATCAATGTAATTTGTTCTAAAAATAACATCAAGTTAAACCTACTTCAGCAGATATCCCCATTCAGACTTGGAGGGAACGGCACATAATTTACAGACCTGACAGAGTGACAGGCTATAGCTGGCTTGCTCTGTACCGCTGTAAAGCCTGTACTAGTGATAAGAACAGGGCTGCGTCTTCCCCTTTGTTAGTGGTGTCCAACTGGACACTGCTAACAGTCTTAAGGAGTGCGTTTCCTTTAGACTCATAAAACCAAACGCAGCTGCACAAGAGTTTTGCTTTGTAGAGTAAGTCAGGTTGTATGAATGGTTGATATCTTCAAACACATTTCTCCAATGAGAAGATATTATTAGTTCTTTCAGAGTATTATCCAACCTTTTTCTGCAAGCTGAAACTGGTGCTATGATAGCAATGTGCACAGTAGGTTTTTCAAGAAACAAGCGAAGTACAGCTTAACATAAATGATGTGGCTGCCTATTTACTTGTTTTTAGGCATAAGAAAGCACTTCATACAAAAATGGAGCAAATACCTTTCTAAGTTTCCCAAACTCTCCCTCTCTTTGAATGCTTTATTTTTGAAAGGCTTTATTTTGTGGTAGTATTTGTATTAATTAGTATTAATAAAATGATAGCGGAACAGGTAAAGAACATTGTTCAATGAATACATGTAGTCCAGTCAATGAAGAAATTCACAGCTTAATTTAAAAGCCTTTGTAGCATCTACTTCGTTTTTATATGGTAGAACAGTAAATGTCACAGAAATACTGAGGAAGAGACTTTGCCTTGCAATATGCCTTCTGTCACTGAGAACACAAGTGCTTTTACTTTCAACTTTTAAGTGGTGTCAACACAAGCAACAGAAGAACATAACAGAAGCCCTTCAACCTACATGTCCATATACTGTCATGCCTGAAGGGATTCAAGGGTCACAGAAAAGATAGGCACATTAGTACTACATGCTGTGATTTTAATAATCCCAGAGCGCAGGTAATTCTGAACTAGAACAGTGTGATCAGTGAATTCTTAGAAGGAAAAAAAGCTAAGAACTGGCACCAAAAAGCGACTTGTCAGTAGTGCCCACATAAAGCAATTTACACTTCCATTACCTGCAGACTGATATGTAGCAGAAAAACAAGTGGGGGATTGTGTGTATGTGGTGGTGTATGGAGACCAACAGGTTTAAGGGAAGCTTGGCTGCTTGGTCACACAGTGTAACCTTTTTCTGTTCACTAATTGCCATTCTGGAGACTACCATTATTGCCGAAGTACTAAAACAGAGTTAGAGCAATGACTTGCATACAACATAAAGGTGCTTAAAATCACTAAAAACTTGCGTATCAGAATGAGGCACTGTGGTGCCTATCTTAGGCTGAGAACACCCTTCAGGCCAAGCCTCCAAGGAGGGGTATCCACCAGTGATGGTTTCAAGATGATTACAGTGTCTGCAAGGAAGCACTGCTCATGTCCCTGCCTCCAGCAGGGCCAGTCTGTGTCCATGTCTTGGGGAAGTCCAGCAGCCAGTGTCAACTGCCAGACTGCTACTACAGTTACCCACCCAGCCCAAACAGCTGTGCTGAATGCCTACATAAATGTGTTTGCACACACACCCCAGTGCAAGCTGTACTACATTAAATTACTGCCCTAAGCTGTATTACCTGAAAAAAAGTGTCTCAGGTTAACTGCTGGTTAGAGCCTGTTTTATATAAAGCTGAGCCAATTACTCAGGCTGGAACACTACCCTTAATGTATGAAGACCATTCCTAAGAAAATCCAAGCCAACACCTAAAGTCTGGAGTGACATACTCACATGTTACATGTAACAGACAGCAAGCTGTCTGTTCAGCCTCCCCACACACACGGTGACTTAGGCACCTGGTCATACTATGAGATGTCCTCCTTTATTCAATAACTGACCAAGGACCCTTACTCACAGATTAGCATTAAGCATTTCATTGCCCCATTCTAAGACTGTAATAATTTAGTCTGAAATTTCATTCACTTTGTATTTTTCTCCAATTCAGCTTTTATTCCTTTTCCTTTTCTTCCATTGTAAGGCTGCAGCAGTCACATATTAGTGCACAGCTAAAGATTCAGGAGCTGAGGAGCTTCCCTAAGCAGGGAGATCTGTCCCCTTGCTTTCTCAGCCAGCATCTATTACTGGATGCTTTGCAGAGAAATGCACAAGACTCCATAATGGACAAGTATCACATCTCAACTAGGGAAATTTCCTTCCCCTGCCCACCTCAGCATCTTTTCCATTTCGGTAGACCTTTAGAACTGCTTTAAGCCTGAAAACATGAATTTTTCCTCACTTGTAAAAAACCAACCCTATACAACAAAAAATCCCTCTAATCTTTTACAAGTTATTAACAAGCATTTCTGGGGATGTATGGTGTGTGTTTGTATCTAGCCCTACCCAGATTTTGAAGACAAAAATATAGTTTGGCAATGAGAAATTCAATTGCTCACTGTGTAAAAATGTCTCTTTTTATGGGTTTTAGATTCTTGAGCCCTCCTTTTACTGCTTCTTGTAGTATAATGACAAAAAGTCAACTGAAGCATCCACTTTACTGTTTTAATAAATGGTGAATTGCTTTATGCATCTCTACTGAATTTATGAGAGAAAACAACTGATGTCACTACCTGCCTATGACTGGCTGAAACCAAATTGCTGGTTCTTAAGACGATATCTGTAACTGATCATCATTTAACCAAAAGATGGTATGACACATACCTTAATTTTCTGCTAAATGCCAATGTGGTTAAAACAGATTTTTTTTCTTAATCTATCAGTAAAAGTAAACCTGCTTTCTGGTTTTCTTTATTACAACTATTATTAGTTTCAGGTATTTACAAGATCATTTTTTTACCACATCTGCACATTCCTTCCTTTTTTTCATAGCCTAACAGAAGGAAATATGCCAAGAGCAACTTGTCAGTCACAAAAATCAAAGAGAAACAAATGACACAGTGATGTGGGCAGTGCAAGCCACCCCAGAGGCATGTGCAGAAAGAGTGGAAATGAAGAGGAGCCATGAATCACTGCCACTCTGTATGAAATAAGACACCCTAAAGAGAAAACATTTTATATATTTATCATTAACTTTATTTTTTAGATAATGTTTCTTCTTGAAACCTGAAACTCTAGGAATATGCCTAAAGGAGAATATTTAGAGAAACAAATTTGTATGAGCTAGACTGATTTACTATTTACATTTTGAAAAATATAGTGAAGTAAAAAACAGTTATAAAGGAATAAAGAAGGGAAGACATCACCAAGACTGAGAAAATAAAATAAACACAAAATTGTAATAGATTAAAAATAATTTGGCTCTGTTTTTACCAGTGTCTAAACACACACATTCCTGGTTCCTATTGCATTGCACATGATAGGAGGTTCACATGGTACTAGGGAAGAGAAATGGTTATGAAAACAATGAGTGTTCTGCCCTTTGCATACTGGGATGCTGGAGATGGCATGTGACTGCTTTTAACAGGCAAACAACTGTTTGATCATAGAGCACTAAAAGTGACTGTTTTAGTTGTAGGACTCAGAGTAAGATATGACAACAGCTTTTTAAAAAGAAGATACAGCTCAGTGCCTGTTCTGCTTTGGATGTACACCTTGAGTAACATTCAAGTTGGCCTCACTGAGCTCAGGCCTACCCCAGCCTAACTGATCTAACTCTACAGTTGTCTCTTTAAAAGAATTGGGGCATGTTAAAACTATCTTCTGATACATGTATGTGTGCACGGTTTTCAAAATACAATCAATTCACAGATGACATATATGTTTGGGTTTTGCTGACCTTGCATTGCCCCTGCAGGGGTGAGGCTAGCAAGCATGGTTTCAGGAACACCCCAACTTATGTTCAACAAGGACAAAGAAGGATTTCCACTGTATGGAATCGAATGATAAATAGATATCAGGCTGATAAAGGAGGCCCCTCAGCAAAATTTGGTCAAAATATAACCTTGCTGTAGGAAAACAATTTTTTTTTTTATAATAATGAGCCAAATCAAGCAGCCAAGTGAAATATATCCAGTGATACAAAAGGCAAGAGACACCAGTAAGACTTTATTGTTTTATTCTCCCCTTAGCTCCTTTTGGAAATTTACCTCCAAAAAAATCAGTGTATAAGTGAAAACTGTGAGTGTCTCTTACATGTAAGGTCAAAAGAGAAAACATTAGAGAAGTCATTATTACCAATCTCCTTGTGCCATAAACATTGGAGATTAGGTAGACTGACATGGTTCTTACCCACAGTATTGCAACATCATATGGTGACTTAAATTACTTCATGTTCCATTCTTTCTGAACCATTTTGTTTCAAGTAGTTTCATTAACTTCTGGCAGGATTCACAGTATGCAAAACTACAAAGGATTTTTTCCTCTCCCTTACATTTTTATATTCAGATACTTCCTCAATCTTCAATCAATTCAATGCAAAGAATGAAGGAGGGATGAATCTGAAAGTCATTACATCATTTAACTTGTGATTTTCAAATGAAAAGCTTTAATACAAAATTTTTGAGAATAACCTTGGATCACACTGTAGCTATTCCTTCAACACTAGGTTATACAGGTAGCATAGAAAAGATCATGAGGGGCTTGATAAAAAGCAAGAGAAAAATCACTATCTTGCACTCACATATTGAAGACAACATATATAATTTTGCTCATTTTATACCTCAAGCTGAGCATTCCAAACTAGAAGCAGAAATACTGAACACAGAACAACCCCACACCTGACAGAAAAAGAAACAAACTAAGAAAGAGAAATCAAAGCATGTGAGAATTTAACAAGTTCTCTGATTAAATGAGCCAACTACAGCCTTCAGATTTACAGATATTTCAATCTATTTTACTACATATAATGATTGCAATTTA